AACTTGAGATGTACTGTGCACCAGTACTCGTTTGTTGAAAAAGTTTTGAATATATGTGTGGCTATTGCTCTGGTTGTAATGATGCATGCACTGTTGGTTGTTGAAATGCTTGGATAACTTGAAATAATTGTGTTGTTGTTCAATGTTTTTGGTAAAGGATTGAATATTGAGGCTTTTGTTTCTGTGGCGCATAAGATGCTTCTTTCACTTTTTATTGCTTTGGTGAGTTCATTGAGCTTTGCTCTTTGTATAAGGCCTCTGATATTAAGGGTGGTAATATTTTTAAGGTTTTTAAGGAAAGTGTATGTGTTGTTTAGGGAGTGTTGAGAGTTGGTCTGAGTTGTATCTGTCATTAGATTAGGTTAGGAAGGAGAGCTAGTGCCGGTTCAGGTGACTCAGGTTCAATTATATATTCAGGTGGAAGTTTTTCAAAGTGAAAGTAATTGTCAAGAATTTTAATGTTGTTGTTTAGTTGTGGATCATCAGTAAGTGGAAGGGACAGGTTGGTGTTGTTGTCTTTCAGGATTTTGTTGACTTCTGTGATGTCTGGCAGGTCAGATAGGAAAGGTGTGATCCAGTCTCTAGGAACCTCTCCAAAGTATTTATTTTTAATTTTTGTGATTGTTTGTTTGAATTCTGAAGAGTCTCTATTTAGTTGTTCTTTAGTGATGTCGAGTTCTGTTTCAATTACTGTGAAATCATCTGATATCTTGGGTTTATTTGATTGGCTAAGGTTGTCCTTGATCCATTCTGGATCTAGGGAAAGTTTTATGTAGAATTTGTTCTTTAGGTCTTTAATAAGATTGTCTGCCTCCTCTTGTGTGGTAGCTAGAAGAAGAATAGAGTTATTTTCACTGTACCAGTATAAAGGAGGAAGTTTGGCCGCTTTACTCTGATGTAGTCTAAAGGAAGATATTTGACCACATAATTATTTTTTCTTAAGAGCTGAACTCCTTTCTTGAATTCTTCTATGGTATTGACAACAGGGAAGTATTTGGCAAGATTGGATGGCAGATCTCTGTATTAAGGGGGGAGATGTTTCTTTGGTGGAGGAAGGTCAAAGTAAGACTCTGGTAGTTTGTTGGGGACATAGTAGTGTTCTCTAAGTTTGTTAATACAGAATTTGAGATCTGTGAGTTCATATCTCTCTATCAAAGAAAACCAGTTGGCAAATTCTGGTGAGAGATCTTCAAGTTTATTAGTGTGAGAGTGGTACGGCGAGTCAGTCGCTAACTGATAGTGAAATTCGTGGAACAGTGGTGTTAAATTTATTTAATGATAGGGCTTTTGGTGAAGCGTTAGATTTGGCCCAGGTGAGTATTTTAATTATTGTTTTATATGGTAATTCTCTCCTTTTCCTTTATTAAATGCTATCGTTTTTATACACTTTTCAATAGAAATTATTAGAAAGTTGTAGAAACATGACGAAAGGTAAGGAAATTTTATTCGTTTCTAACACTAATTACATAATAAAACGCTCATTACATCATTTTTATCTCACTTTTAATGCTGATTTCAGTTCTACATTTCTTCTCGCGATTCCCGGGTCGATTGTTGGTCACGTGACCCGAATCGCGTTACCCATTATTTTATTCTCCCTTTTACAACTCCCCCACGCTTATCTTATGCGTCCTTCGCATAAAGATTATAATTAAGCGTGTTTCTCGTCGTATCTCGTCTAGTAATGGCTGGCTCGTTAATTGATCGCTTGATTTTTCTCTCCATTTGTGCTTGATCTTGCAATCCGTTGCGCCGATGATGTCAATCTGATTCGGGGTACATTGTTGGTGCGGCATGGCTTTCTTTCCAGCACGTGTCGTCATCGTGATGTTGTTTCTGGTTGCCCGATTCTTTTGTCGTTGCCTACTTCTATGGTGATGATATGGCCTGATGCGGTAAGTATGGTATCATTGGTATCCTCCAAGTCTTATCCATAGTGCCCGTTTTTTCTTTTTTTGCGTCTAACGATTTTCCGACATGGAGTAGGGTACATGATAATCGTTCTACACGCACGATTATGGGTGCTTTCCATTCTTATTTCCCTGGATGTTGGTTGGTCGTTACATAGCACATCCTTTCTTACTTTGGGCATTCCGATTTTCGTGTTCCTTAGTTCAATTTCCCATCCTCCTCCTTGATCTCGATGGTCCGTGATTGTCAGTGGTTTTCTGATGCCGAGGGTTTCATCGAGTGGGTCATCATTTATGACTATGGTTTCTTGCCCGTTTTTTCTTTTTTTGCGTCTAACGATTTTCCGACATGGAGTAGGGTACATGATAATCGTTCTACACGCACAATTATGGGTGCTTTTCATTCTTATTTCCCTGGATGTTGGTTGGTCGTTACGTAGCACATCCTTTCTTACTTCGGGCATTCCGATTTTCGTGTTCCTTAGTTCAATTTCCCGTCCTCCTCCTTGATCTCGATGATTCGTGATTGTCAGTGGTTTTCTGATGCTGAGGGTTTCATCGAGTGGGTCATCATTTATGACTATGGTTTCTTCCTCCAGTCGTCTGTTGCTGCTATTATGGGTTCTTCTATCGGTACGTTGTCGTGGCTTGTCTTCCGGTAGCTTATCTCTTTCTTCAGGGCGTTCCTCACGTTGTTCTTGACTCATTATTAGCTTCCTTTCTCTTTTTTCTGGTTCGTCCCCTGCTTCAGTTCTGTGACCGATCTTCTCATTGATTCCAGGCATCATGGTTCTAAACGTTTCTTCCCATAGCTTTGTGCAGTCGTGAGCAACCGATACTTCGTCGCAGGTTAGCTCTTGATTTCTGATCATTGCATCGATCCTTTGAACAGCTTCACCAACTCTTTCCACGTGGTCGACTTCTCTTTGCGGCTTGGGGTACATCTTCTCGTCAAGATTTCCTTCTGCCTGGTCATTCGTCGGCACGTCTTCCGGTCGGTTTCTCGCTTTCTCTTGATGATGCACCTTCTCTGTGTCTTGTGCTAATCCGTTGTCTTCTTCCGGTTTACTCATCATCTTCCTCATGTCATCGTTCCTATTGTTCGGCACCCCGGTATTCTCGTTTTTTGGGGCTTGATCCCAGGTAAGTTTCCGATTTCCTTCTGTGCGCTGGATACTGATATTCTTTTTCTCTTTTTCTGCCGTCTTTCCTAAGTCTTCGCTAAGTGGCGTCATCGGTTCCTGATGTGCATCACGATCTTTACCGTTTCTTTGTTTATTTTGAATTTCGTCAGTGATGGTCATTTCGTCGCGGCATTCTTCGATTTTCTTGGTTTCGTTTATTGGAATTCTTTTAATTGGGAGGGGTGTACTGTCACTGGTGTCTTTTTGGGAGGCGGCTCTAACTACTTCGGCGAGTGTAGATGCTATCTTTTTCCTTTCTGTTTTTATCGCCGCTTTGAGTGCTTCTATTGGCCCGACGGAATTTCTAACCGTAGGTTGCGATAATATATCTTCCCGTAACCCAAGTACCAGTAACCAATACGTCGTTTTTTTGGCATATTCACCCTCCGGGTAGAGCTTCTTTAGTAGCTCCATAAACCTACAGACGTATTCGGTCACCTTCTCACTTTCGCCTTGTTTCATGGTTTCCAACTCTTCTTGCCACCGGCGATGTTGCTCCAGCATTTCGAAATGCTATACAAACATCGGTACGAAGCTCCATTTCTGGTTGTCTTCGTCGTTCCAGCAGGCAAGTCGATCTCGGCAATTTTCGTACCAGTTAAGCGCAACACCCTCTAAATACTTACCTATTTCCTCAAGCTTCTTGGCGTCCGTCTAATTTCGACAACTAGCGGCTTTGTCGTAACGTTTATCCAACTTTGCGGATTGTTCTTTGGTCTCCTTCCGAACTTGTATCTTCTTGTTCGTCGGGTTTTAGTTCCTTCTTTAGATCTAGGTATGTCTGTTGGTTTTTTCAGACCATCTCGTCGTGGAAGGGTATGCGTAATTGCATCATACTCGATCTCCAACATTTTTATCATAGTGCGGATGATTGACGTAGGGGACGGTTACAAGTCACCACCAGTTATGCGTAGGCGCCCCCAAAATAAATACGGGGTAAAATAAAAGGAATGTAAAAGGCCAGGGTAAATATAAAATCGTGATATCTTTACTAATGGCAAATGGTTTGTCTTCGCTAAATGATGATGGAATTCGCGTAACTGCCGGTCCACTCTTAATAATGATAATCGAAGAGGTGAGGCGTTAGATTTGGCCCAGATGAGTATTTTAATTATTGTTTTATATGGTGATTCTCTCCTTTTCCTTTATTAAATGCTATTGTTTTTATACACTTTTCAATAGAAATTATTAGAAAGTTGTAGAAATATGACGAAAGGTAAGGAAATTCTATTCGTTTCTAACACTAATTACATAATAAAACGCTCATTATATCATTTTTATCTCACTTTTAGTGCTGGTTTCAGTTCTACATTTCTTCTCGCGATTCCCGGGTCAATCGTTAATTACGTGATCCAAATCGCATTACCCATTATTTTATTCTCCCTCTTACATTAGGTAGGTCAAGTCTTTTGATGAAGTATGAGGTAGGTAAAGTGTCAAAATTGTAAAAAGCCCTAAGGTTGCCTGTGACCTCGCTTGTGTCATTTCTTGAGATAATCAGGATATTTTTGGGGATTCTAATTTTGATTGAGATTGAGATATTCTTGGGATCATCTGGTAGTACTAGTAGGTCTTTTTGGATATGCTCTTTACATATTTCGTAAAGTTCCTGATAGTCAATTTTCTGGAGAGAGGGGTCAAGGAAGAAATTGAATCCATATTCTAGTAACTGGGCTACTTGCCAATATTTGAAAAGTACGAGGTCAGTTGATCTAAGATAAGCAACAAAGAGTGCTTTGTTAATAATTTTTTTGATCTTGTTTCTGTTAATTCAGGTAATATACCCCAAATTATTGGCCTGAAAGTAGTTGATGTTGTGACGGGCAAATGGCGAGTCTGTCGCTAATGCTAACAGGGGTTCGCGTAACTGTCACTTGTGTTTCTTTAAATAGGAAATAGGTGATTTGAGGCGCACGATTCAGCCGAGTCTTTCTCACTTCTTGTAT